CCCCTCACCTTGTGGCAGCTCGAATTCCTGGGGCCAAGCCAAGCCACCAAGCCTTGGGAAGTGGGACCAGCCTGCTACAATGATGGGGACGTTCTGGGCGGGAACGTGGTCTTCACAGAGGTGCCTGCAGTCATGACCTCGTGTGCAGGAGCGTTGGGCCCAGGGCGCTCACCCTGAGACCCCAGCAGCACGGGTTCGAACGTGCTTCTGCCTCGGCTGCTACACCCTCAGAGCAGGTCACACGTGAGGGACGGCGATACACGGGGAGCCGGGACTTGGTCCTTCCCGATGCTTCCTCCGCCCATTCCTGTGCCCAGAATCTAAGGAAAAAGACTTCGTTTCACAAGCGCCGACTCCCAGCTCCCAGGACCTGAGGGGGCAGGCAGGCAGCAGGAAGTGACCCAGCAGGCCGGCAGAGGGATGGGGATGAGGGGTCGCCACGGGGGAGAGCGGCTTCTGAGTGGACAGTCCTACCGTGGGCACGAAGGCAGGGCCGGGCAGGAGCCGGCGGAGGCTTCCAAAGTCACTCAGGCCCTGCGAGTCCAACTCAGCGGAGGGGCATGCGAGGTAACAGACCGCCCACTGGGGAGAGGAAAAGGCCCCGTTTCGCAACACGTTTGGGAAGCGCAGGGACACGGGGTAGCTGGCAGAGGCCACTGCTTTGGGAACCCCATGTCCAGGCTGCTATCCAGTGCCAAGGGCGTGCGGAGCCACAGGGAGGGGCTAACACACACCAGGGCTCTAAGACATGTACTAGAAAGCCTAGAAGTGCCCCAGCGCCGACCCGCTGCATCTCGTTCTACTGTGAACCCCCGAGGCCCAGTGCCTGGCTGGGATCGCTCCCGTTCATGGCTGCTCTGACCCTTCAAACGCCCACGCACACCCCATACGAAGGTCGGCGAGGGAGCACACGGGCCTCAGCCTGCAGGGGAAGCAGCCAGAACCCCTGGGCTTCCTGGCAGTGGAGGGCTCATGTGTTCATTCAGAACCTCAGCGGCCAGCACTGGCCCTGGGAGACTAGAACAGGACAACCAGCCCTGTCCTTGGCTTCAGGCCTAGTGACAAACACAAAGACCCAGCAACCACAAAGGGCTACGGGAGGGAAGTCACAGCGTGTCGGGGTGGGGGCGACAAGGAGTGCAAGGGGCTCCGGGAAGAGTCCGGTGTGGTCCAGCACAAAGCCGGGAGGCCAGCAAGGGAGGAGCTGGCCAGAGGGGAGGCCCCGAGGCTCAGAGGATCATAAGGGATTAGGATTTATCATGAATCTGACGGGAGGGTTTTGGGGAGGGTGTGTCATGACCTGATTTACAGTTTAACATGGACTCTGAGAGTAACAGAAAACAAAACCCCAAAAACCAGCAGTACCAAGGATTTGGAGAGAATGTGGAGTGTTAAGAACACTCACTCAGACCGGTCCATGGCCTCATAAAGGAGTCAGATCTCACGTGGAGAGCCGCAGCACGAATCCTAGTCCCAGCAGTTTGAGAAACACACTGGGCGTGTACGCACACGTGCCCAAATCCTGACAGGATGGAGAACTGGAGGGCAGATTTGGGTGTGCCCATGCCCCCCTGGGGGTGCCTTCTTCTTCCCTCTCTCTGGCAAGCAAACGCACCCTCCGGCAAGTTTAAAAAAAAAAAAAAAAAAAAAAACAGCAGCGGGAATGGAAATTGGCACAATGTTTTGGAAGATAATTTGCTATTACTTAATAAAGATAGACGTGAGAATATCCCAGTGGGCTTTTTAAAAAGGGAAATTAAAAATGATCTTTCTCATAGAAAACATGGTGTGGGAACAGAATCACAATCTAGAGAGGTTCCCCCCGCGGTCCTGGGTGACTTGTTCCGCGATTGCCCACATGCAGAGACACCCCCAGGCTGCTTTCCTCCTCAGGTCGGGGCGGGAACGGAGGGGCTCTCACGCCACTGGAAGGTGCCTGGAGTCACTGACAGTCAGTGGGTTCTGCCTGCACGTCATGCTAAGCCGATTTAAAGCTTAAGCTGAGCCCCCACAATGGGTGGAATTTAGCATTTCATTGTCTCCCCAAATCTCACTCAGAGGACTCTTGTCCCTACTTGAGATAATCCGTTTTTTGAGGTTAATTCCTGTATAACAAAATGCAGAAATCTTTCAGTGTGAAGCTTGGTGAACTTGTACCAATGCATACACCGCTGTCACCACCCAGTTTAAGGTACGGAACCTTTCTACACTTCCTGTGCTCCTCACCAGCCAACGCCCACAGCGCCACCACCTGACTGACTCCTGACACACGAAGTTGGGGACCCCGCTCTTGATCGTCACACGCACGTGCCATCAGGTGCCGGCGTGTGCCCGACTCCTTTCGCTCAGCGTCAAGGTTTGGAGGTGTCTTCATGCTGTTGTGCGTGTCTGTGGTTTGCTCTTTTCCTTCTAATTTGCTATAGGGGGCACATGCTCACCAGAGACAGAGACAGAGAGAACGTGACAAACCACCTCTGGGGGGTGGCCATGCCACAATCCCTTTTCCTCCATTTCCTCTCAGGATTTTGGGAACACGGGATCAGACAGAGAGAGAAAAGGAAAGTGAGAAAGCAAGCCACCAGGTCCAGGACTTGAACCATGGTCAGCCATGGGAGTCCAGTACCTTTAACCACCACACCACCTGCAGGCCCCCCAGTGTGATTTTCCAGCCACTGGATCTGGGACGCTCTCTCTGCATCTCCGGTGAGCCTACGTGCCCTCTAGCATGTTAAAAAAAAATAAAGAGGGAAGATGTAAGAAAGTAGAACGTGGGCGGGCTCCACGGCCTTATGGTTAAGGCAAACTGATCCCACGTGGCCAACTGTGACTGAGAAACACGCTGTGGGGGGCAGCACATGGCTGACTGCAGTTCAAGTCCTGGACCCGGTGGCTTGAAACTCACGCCAGATGCCTATGTTTGCGTCCCCAAGATCCCAGGAGGAGAATGGAGAAGGGACTGTGGCATGACCATCTCCCTGGGGGTATGATTTCTCACTTGCCCTCTCACTATCTCTGTTTCTCTCACACTGGGCATGTGTGCATATGTGCTGCAAATCCGCAGTGACAGGTGGAGGAGAAGGGACTGTGGTGTGATGATCCCCACAGGGGGTGCTTACTCATCTCCCTCTCCATCTCTCTCTCGGATCTTGAGAATATGCAACATCTAGCAAAAAAAAAAAAAGTAGAATGGAAGTTATGTTGGGAGGTATTTCAGAATGTGTGTACACTGATGTCAATGAATTGACAGACGGGGAGAATTTCATGACGCTGGAAAAGAGGATAGTTGAGAAGCAAAGTCTTTGAGTAGCAAGAAAGGATAGGATTGGGCCAACAGATGACATAGAGGTTAAAGCTGGATCTCGCATGGCCTACTGTGCGGTTCAGGCCCCAGATTCAGTGGCTTGAAAAACACACCTGGCGTGTTTAAGTGCATGCCCAAAATCTTGAGCGGAGAATGGAGGAGAAAGGATTATGGCATGACCTTCTTCTGGGGCGGGGGGGGAGGTGATTTCTCACTCTCCCTCTGTCTCTGGTGAGCATACACTCCCTATAGCAAAAATTAAAAACAAAACAACACAAAACAAAAACGGAAGGAAGAAAAGATGAAAGGAAGAATGGGATCGAGTGCCTACCTGGAGAAGGGCTACCTGAGGGATGGAGGCAGAGCAGAGCAGAGGTGCACAGTCAGGAGGTCTCTGTGGTTGAGGTGAAGATTTAGAGATCAGATATGAAATGACCCACTAAGAGAAGGGGAGCAGCTAAGAAAACTTGGTAGGTCGTAGGGTCATGAGATGTTTTTTTCTTTCTTAGAGATTTTTGCTACAGGGTACATGCGCTTGCCGGAGAGACAGAGAGACAGAAAGTGAGAAATCACTCCCCAGGGGAGGGGATGGCCACACTGTAATCCCTCCTCCTTTTTCCTGTTGGGATTTTGGGCACTTACGCACACACCTCACACCTAGCCTGAGTTTTAAGCCACCGGGTCTGGGACTTAAACCACTGTTGAGGGAGTCCAGCATAGTCCATTACGCCATCTGCTGGCCCCACGTGATGGCTTTTGTCTGTCTGTTTGCCAGAGGGCGAGTGCACTCACAGGAGAGAGAGGGAAAGTGAAAGAGCACCTCTCCCCCACAGAAAATGGACACACCACAACTCCTTCTGTTTCTCTCTCCTTTGACGATTTTGCACATGCGTGCACGTGCACCTGCCATGTTTTCAAGGTGAGATTCACACCACACAGTTGGCCATGTTGGGATCTGGCTCCCTAAACCATCAACATGGGGCCAGCCCAATACTATGGCCTTACAAGAAATTTAGGGCCACCATTCAACAATCATCCCTCGAATGGATGGTCCATCTCAAGAGGCTGAGGTTCAACAGAGGAACTGGCAGCCAGGATCCAGAAGGCAGAAGCAGCAAGGGCCTCGTAGGGTGGGTGGGGCTGTCTCTCTTGCCCCCTCCCCATTCTTCCGCCAAGCAAATGCGAGCTTTAGTTACTTCTGCTGGTTCAAGGAACCAATGAAAGCGCAAGGCAGGCCCTCACCAGCTCACAGATCCCGGCAGAAGGAAAAAAGAGGTGCCATGGCCCGAGGAGTCGAGTGCCCTGAAAGGAGGACAGCTAGGGCTGTTCTGGAGCTGGGACAGCTTCAGAGCCATTCTCAGCCACCTCCCAAGAGACGAGCCACCAAATTAAGCTAACGAAGCATCGCCTCAGACCAGCGGAGCTGAAGACAACCTTGTTGGGCCGAGATAAGGCACGGCACAAGGCACGGAGGACACGGGGCTGGGAGGAAGGGAAAAAGTCCCCTTTCCGCCCACGCACTCAGCCGAGGAGATGTCCCAGTGCCTGGTTCTGAAGGCATCAAACCACAGACCAGTACTCGAACTGCATAGTGCTCTAGGAATCTCTGAGCATGTTGAGGCTGGCCGCTTATTCTGCGTTCTCAGGAACCCCAGGACTAGCCACACGCGGTCGACCTGCAGAAGTGAAGATGCTTTGATGCCACGCCTGGCCTGACGGCTCCGCGTCCAGGGCCCCTTGCAGAGGTGCCTGCTGTTCCCACCCAGGCTTTTCCCGTAACAGGGGTACGACCGAGGAAAGGTCTTCTGTTCTCCAGATCCCTGTTACCTGGCCACCCAGCAAGTTCCCTGCTTTGTGAGTGAGGTAACAGCTAGCCCTGGCAGAAGGTACCCAGGGGCCAATCACTACCTCGAGGACGAGAACAGCCCCTCCTTACATACAACTCAAAACCCGGCCAGCCATGTCCCTGTATGTCTGAGAACTGGTGGCCTCACTTCTGCATGCATGACTAAC